GTGTATCAGAGCCAGACACTGCTCTGACGGCGGCTCCAGTTCACGTCGAGACGCACCTTTCTGAGTTCTTGTATATATCCTCTCCGATCCGGTGCCTGACAGCAGACTCTCTTATTGCTTTCTATCGGTCATGCGGTGTCGGTGAACACACGGCGCCGAGATTCGACGAAGTAAGTCCGCAGGCTCTTCATGTGTCCTCTCCAGACTAAAGCCCCAAGGAAGTCCGCGGTTCAGCTTAGTGGACGAGGTGGCCAGCTGCTCCTGATGCGGCTGCATTTGGGTGCGGTCGCTTACGCCCCGACCTGCCGTTCCTCACACGCTCTTGCTTCTGGCACCCGATCAGCTGTTCCCACAGACGCCCTTCCAGCCCATCCGCCGACCCAGCCTTTGGGATTTGTCCCGTTGCAGCCTCCATGGGAGAATGGCACGGGTGCATGTACGTACGCTGCAGGATCTACAGACAATCAGCGCCCACGCCTTGCTTCCAGGAGCACGCGTTCAGACCGATGGACTAGGCCGGCGCGTGGTCATCACAGGTGACTCGGTCGGTTCGATTACTGTACATACTTCGTACATGTTATACAGTAGATTGATTCGGCTCGGCTGACGTTGCGCAGCAAACACTCAGAGTGTTCGGCCCTTGCGCCGGGCTGAAGGCACGCGGTCACGCGCATACATCCCATTCCGTACCAGCATGGTCACTTCTATAGCTGTCATGGTGCCTCCGAGGCTTACAACTTTCGTGGGTTTGTTCGGAGGACCTAGCGCCGTGCTGCACCGCTTTCACTTGGCTCTCCAAGCTGATGGTGTCACTCTTCTGACTCCTTGAACGAGCTCCTTCCCTTCACACTGATCTCGCCCTTCGTCGTTACTTGTCCGCTCGCGCCGATCCGCCCTGCCAGAGCACTCGTTCCTCCACGCTAGCGCCGCGTCTTTCGGCTATACACCAGATCATCCGTGCCTCTACGGCCGATTCACTCCAGCACCCACGCTATTCTCCCATTGAGACGTCTCGAAAGCACCTCTAGACCCTTGTCGAAACGGGCCCTGGTGGCATTCCACCTGCATGTCGCTCGCCACTCCGAACTTCATCCCCACTCTAGGAGTGTCAGTCGTAGACCAGCTGATCGCCTGCACCACACGGTCGTTCTGGGCCAGAGAACCGTATGATTGCGGCAGCCCAGTTCATACTTGAACTGCCCCTCCTCGGCCCCAGGTCCGAAGTTTCGAACCTTCCTCTCTCAACACTCAAGCCACGTCTGCGCTCCCTCATACACCAGAACCGAGCAATCACCATAGCTTCTATCCTTGCTGAAATCAACAAGCCACACGATCTCGGCCTTCGCATGCGCGCTTCAACCTCACACATTCAGCACTCGCCAAGCAAAAGCTCCGCGACGGTCTCTTGTACAATCGCGACTTCTCGAAATCGGTCAGTCTCGTC